TTGTCCCAGTAGGACAATGTGTCCCCAGGCCTCCACATGCCTAAACACACAACCCTGTTGCCTTTTTTTTCATTCCTTTTTCTTTCTTTGCTTCTCTCTCTCTCTCCCCCCCCCTCTCTCTCTCTCTCTCTCTCTCTCTCTCTCTCTCTCTCCCTCCTTTTTTTTGTTTTTTGTTTTTTTTTGTTTTTTTTTTTTTTTTGAGGCAGAGTCTCTCTACATAGCCCTAGCTGTCCTGGAACTCACTCTGTAGACCAGGTTGGCCTCAAACACACAGAGTCACCTCTCTCTCCTCCCAAGTGCCACCACACCTGCCTCCTGCTCTGTTTTCATTCCACTTTGGCTTCTCAAGGAGCAGGGATCTGTCGCTGTCACTCTGTTGTGTCTTAGGTGCCTAGTATAGCACCTGGCACAGAAAAATGTTCTGAGTCTACTGAGTGTCATTGGTTATCCTCCTTGTCCAATCTTAATGTCAGCAATGGCAGATCTGGCAGAGAATCCAGAGGGACAGAGCAATCAGAGCCCAGAGGAGCTACAGGTGCCCACACCAGCCCGATACTCTCCTTCCCACCCCGACACTCTCCTTCCCACCCCGACACTCTCCTTCCCACCCCGACACTCTCCTTCCCACCTAATCCTGGCAATGGCTTGGATGGAGCAGGAGTCAGGGGTCAGAACTCATGAACCACCACTTTTTGGCTGACTTTGGAGATGAAACCAACAAACAGGGTAGGCTTAGGCCAATGAACTATCTCAGCCTCTCCTCCTTCAGGAAGTCCTCCAAACTCAGCTCAGCCTTTTCTGGGCTCCTGTAGCTCCAAGGTACAGACCAGAAGGAGTCAAGCAGCCCTTGGGTGTTTCCTGCAGCCTTGGAGCCTGGAGGCGCTGTCTAGAGCTATTCACAAGCCACCCCAGAAGTTCCCCAGCCAGCGGGAAGCATCTTCACCTGAGGGAAATTTTATGACTCAACAATGTAGGAATGCAGCCCGTTTACCCCCACTTTAGAGGTGATAAGACTGAGGCTCAGAGAGGAGCTTGCCTTGGGTCACAACAGTATTACAAACAAATGAACACCACAGCCAGGAAGTTGCAGGAACCTAAAGCCAGGAGCTTTTATGGAAACAATATGTCCCTCGCATCCTGCAAGACAAGATGCAAGGCAGAGGAAAGGATAATGTGACCAGGATGAAAGTAACAATGGTGGTGTTGGTCCCTATAGACAGCAGCTACCAGTGGCGCGTCCACACTAAGCAGGCCGCACTCGGTGTCTGTGAGACGGGTACAGGTTTAATTCCCATTTAACAGGGAAAACTAAAGTACAGTGAAGTTACTTAACCCCAGAAACTAAGTGGGAGAGCAGAACTGACCCTGGCCCCCACAGTGCTGTCTAACCCCGCAGCTACTCCGAGGCATGGCTCACCCATACCCCTGACCCCATGATAAATAAGGCATTCAACCTCACTTTGGGGTCCCCTTGCCCAAGGCTATCCCACAGTGCTGCCTTCCCCAACCCCAGGGTGTACCACCACAGGACTCTCAGGACACGTAGGCAGGTGAACAGGCCTCTCCCAGTTTGCAGGGCACCCTCCCCGGAATATGAAATCAAGAGTCAGGCTGGCCTCCCTGTCTCCCTGTGTGACCACAGAGTCCTTCCTCTTTCTGGTCCATCATTCTGCTCTGTCAAACAAAGACTTCCATGAAACCAAATCTCCATCTGTCCCCTCCCCAACAACTGTCACACAAATCTAAACGGGTGAGACGGTCTCTTCCCAGGGGTAGTTTCATTTTAACGGGTGGCTCTGGTAACAGAAAAGCACCAAGAAGCCAAAGAAGTACACCTGCTCAAGACAAGAAGTGAGCGTGACCCAGAGTCCAGGAAGCACCCATTGTAACCTCCGGAAGGAAGCACACCCTTTAGAGCCAGGCACTGTCGCAGAAACCATAGGGGTGTAGGTGTCCCCAAGGCTCCATAACAGCGGTTTTTCTGTCCCGACTTATTGAAGGGGCCTGAGTTTCAGGGCCTGCTTACCTGAGAACTTATTGTTGCCACGCTGAGAGGCAGGGGTTCTACCTCGGTCTGTCTGAAGGCCAAGGCCAAGGCACTGATTCTAAGCCCTTGCCCTGTAACATCCCTGCTTCTCCTTTCTCCCCCACGAAAGAAAACTGACAAATGAGTTAGCAAAACAGTTAATAGCACCCACTTCAGTTTTAGCACAGTCTGAGTTGTAGCCCAGCTATGCTGCTCTCTGGCTGTGCTACTTTGGCAAGTTCCTTAGCCTCTCTGAGTCAGTTTCCTCCTATGTAAATGAAGATAACAGGACCTATCCGGAAGGCTGCTGTGAATGAAATATGACTTAATTCATACAAAGCAGCTATAACCGCACTCAGTACAGAACACATACACATCCAACTGTGAGACAGCAAAGGTGCCCCGGGATCATGCTACATATGAACCTTCACAGGAGGAAAGGCTGGTATAGAAGCAGCCTTCCCAGCCTGGACCAGTTCCCTCAAAGTCTAAGATGTGAGATGCACAGATAGTATAGCTATGAGCAAGCTCCTTCTCCTCTCTGGTCCTCAGACAACTCCACTTGCAAATGGGATGCTGAGAGCTGCCTGTTCAGTCCTTCAGGATTCTATGAATAAAGCGGTTTTAAAGGTTACTGGTACCCATGACCACTCCAAAGATCCTCAGCTCCCATCACAACCAGAGGCATGAGGTCAGTGTGGACCTTTAACACAGGGTGGCAACTGGAGCCATGGGACTTTCTAACCCTGCTTCAAGTGGGCATGAAGTGATGAAGTGATAAGGGTCACTGGTGTACGTACACACACACACACACACACACACACACACACACACACACACCCCTATCTACCTTCTTCAGTGCCCAGCAATACTTAGAAAGCAAGCACTCAAAGCACATAGCAGGCACCTAGGTTCTTGCTCCTCCAAGCAGGCTGGTGGACCAGCAGTGTTACACTGCTTGGGGTCAAGACAACAGAATCTCTACCCCACCCAAACCTCCTCAGTCACGGCCTGCACAGTTAAAGCCAGGTTACTTGAGTGCACATCTAAGTCTGGAAGGCAGGGCTGAGGAGATGCCTCAGTGAGTAAAGAGCTTGCAACACAAGTGTGTGGATCTGAGTTCAAATCCACAGAGCCCACAGGCAAGCCAGGCATGATAACTCATGTCTGTGATCCCCAGCACCCCTCTTGTGCACCATGGTGCCTAGCTTAGGAGATGGACTTTTGAAGCCAGCTCTCAATATGGGCTCTTCTCCCAGCTGGGCTATCTCCTAGTAAAGCTCTCTATACCCATTTCTGCAATTGTGCATGGAAATGGCACTGGCTACCTTGCAAGATCATTGCCAGGATGGACAGACTCTGATCACAGGGACTCCTTCCCACTTCTGGCAGCTAAAGAAGCGTTCCTCACTCACCATGACATGAGACCTGTCACACTGCAGACATAGCAGCCAACAAGCTACCTTTCTGCTCAAGCATTGCCTTCTAATTTCTGGACACTGGTGCTAACAGACCTAATAATAATGAAGCCCTTTTCTCCAGGTGTGGAGTCTGAGTCTGACCTGACACCATGAACCAGGTGACAACACCAGGGATTCTAATATATTATCACTCCCCACAGAGCTGTTACGAAAGGGTAGGTGCTACCGAAGTGTGGCCTGCCATCCATCTTTAGCTTCCATCACTCACTCCCATCAGGAGAGGTGGTTCCCTTGACCAAGGGTGGAGAGAATTCAGGCCACTAAAAGAAAAAAAGAGAGAGAAAGAGAAAGAAAAGAAAGGCCTTCAATGGCAAGGGGACTATGGTGGGAGCACCAGACAAGATGAGCTTGGTGGGGGGTGGAGCGTGGGTTGGCCCTGCCCTTCTAGCCTCTAGCTTCTGAAGGCAGGGGCAGGGTGAGTTCCCGATGGTAAGAGCAGGCCCTCCAGGCACATGTATGTAGTACAACAAACACACTAGATTCTTACCAATGTCTTTGCCATATCTGCCATCACCACTCAACATCTGCTTCTTGGAGAGGTAGGTCTGAGGCTGTCTCGGATTCCTCCCGGAGTCCTCAGTCCTACACTCTGTTGACCAGTTCACTTTGTCTGGTTCACTACTGGGTCTAGTGCCTCACTGGACAGAATATGTAAGGGCTGCAAAACTGGCCTTAGGAACCAGGACTCTCCCTGACTCACATTGTTTCCAAGAAACCACAGCTTGTGGGCAGAGACAAGGGGTCCTCCATTGGGGTCAAGAGCCACGGCCTGACCGCAAACAAACCCATTGTGGCCAAAGGCCCAGGGTGCATAGGAATTCCTCCCCAGCGCCCTGCTGCCTCCTGGATTCCCTTTCTGGCTTGGATCACAGATTGTTCCCACAGGAGCATCCACAAACCCAAGTTACCTGATGCTCACAAAGCAATCATAACACTTAAACATAAAGCCATTCACTAAACATTTAACAGCTCGAGACCCTGGGCCCCAATCTACTGAGGTTCAGGCATCACGTCCCCGCCCAGGCTCACACCGCTGCGCAACCCCACCCACTGGGTGCCCATTTGACAGACAGCGAGGCTGAGACCCAGAGTGGACAGGGCATGGGCAGCAGCCGAACCTGGAGGCCGGCCAGAGGCACCTCCAGGTTCTGGACGCTCCCTGCCACATTGTCTCTCACTTGACATCCCGGAAGCAAGCAACGGCCTGGGCCGAGGGGAGACGCCAGCGGGAGTCCTCCTATGCTTCTAGGGTGAAGACTCCCAGGGCTGGGCCCGGCTAAACCCTGGGGCAGCCCGGGGGCAGAACCCGGGCGACAGAGCCCCTCCGCGCTCACTTTGGGCTTGTTGAAAGCGGGCGTCTGGGCCATGGTGCCGAGTGTGCACCCCGGTGTTGCTCTCTCCACTGAAGCTCTCCGGGTCCGCGCTGGCTCGGCGGCGGGGTCGCTTCCCGAGGACTCTCAGAGAAGGCAGAGCGCCACGCTCTTTTTTACCGGGCTGCCCCGGGAGGTCCCGCCCACTCCCCGCCCACACGGGATACTCCGCCTTCCAGGGCTCGGGCTCCGCCCTTGGCCCGCTTGCTGCTCTGGCGCGCATTTCCCGGAATTCAGGACCCCAGACCTCCCCGGCGGCTACACCCTAGAAAACACCCAGGTGAGCCCCCAGAAGGCGTGACCCCAGTGTCCCGGCCAAGCCCTGGCCCCTTTTCGGTCCCTTCTGCACCGAGGCTTCCACTGTTGCCTGGGAGCCTACTGTGTGCAGACCGGAGCTGGAGGCACCTAGCCCCGGAGCCCTCGTGGGGCTGGATTCTGCGTCATAGACCCACTTGTTGCAGAATGCCAAGCCAGAGTGTGTAATTAGGGAGATTTAGCGGAATTAACGACGGCTGGAGCTCACCGTGTGAGGGCAGGTGGGATTCAGAGGACATTTCGTTATGTGTCTGAGAGATTCCTGGGAGCTAAAACTGAAAGGACACCATGGTGGCTGGAGACACGGGGGGGGGGGGGGCGAACAGAGAAACACCCAGTTTATCTCTGCCAGGGCAACTACGCTGGAGAAACGTGCCCCCGTATGGAGACCTATTCAGAATGCTCACAACGACTCTGAGGGGAAGCGCACCGGACTGTCTGCTCCAGAGAATATTATGCACAGTAAAGTGAGTTCAGCTACAAAGCACAGCAGGTGTGTGCAGACACAATACCAAATGGGGACAGAAAGAATACGTGGAAGAAAACTTCATACAGGCTGGTCAACTTTTAGAACGTAGAAAAACAACACCAAAAATACGTTTGTTTAGCTGTATGCCTCAGTGAGGAGGAATGTAAATTAAGGAAAACATACTCTTAAGTCTAAGCACTGTCATTCCAGGGGTGGGACAGGATAAATCTGTGGGAAGACTGGGGCACATAGAAACATCAGTTTAATGACAGTATCCCAGAACTAGGCTAGATGCAATGTCCACTTTCCATCTGTAAATAAACAAACCTATAAATAAGAGGGGGAAGTGGAGGCCGCAGAGTGGAGGGCTGAGGCCAGCAGGTGAAATCACGTTATGTTTCACAGTGAGGTTTGCGCCTTCCTATGAGCCTGCTGGGAAGTGAGTGAAGGTTTGTCAGTGGTTTCCAGACAGCATCAAACCTTTATTTGGAAAGATCTTCCAGCTGCAAAGTCTAGAAACTCATCCAGGTTGACATCACAGGTGAGCTGGTTAGAAATATAGTGTTGGCAGAGGGGGCAGGGCCGCTGTATTCTAGGAAGATTCTTAAGCAACTTGCGTTGCACCTTGAGGTGAAGACACCTGGGCACCCTGGCATGAGGGGACAACATGAGAGGGGCTCTGAGGAGGGTAAGAGACAGTGGGAACAGATGATAGAGTCAGAGCCATGCTGCATGTAAGCTACGGAATCAGGATTTGGGATTGGGTTACATGTGGTACTGAGGGAGTGAGGGAGAGTGTGGATTGGATCAAAATGGTCTTTCTAAGACAGGTGGTAATATGTAACTTTAGTATTTAGGAAGCTGAGGCAGGGAGATGTTGGGCTATTATTGAGATTATTGAGATTCTGTCTGGAAAAAGAAACATACCTAACACATTGTGGCTCTGCGGGAGATTTCTCACTTTGGATTCATGACACCACTGTTCCATGTGGGCACACCCTCGGTGGCCAGTGTCGTGGAAGCACTTTATAAACATCATCCCATTCACTCTGCCCCACACCCTGTTATGCAGGGACCATTATCAGTCTACAGATGAAGTCCCCGAGCCCGCAAGAGGGCACTGCCCATTGGACTCCAGGAAGATCAGCGTGTTGTAGAGAGTTCTCGTACTTAAATTTGGTTCTGACTTTATATCTGGGTCTGGGCTATGACAGTCAAGTCCTTCTCCAAAGTCAGTCCAGCACATTAGAGAAAGTTGAGGCCATGCAGATGACTTGCTGTTTCACCAAAGGTGATGACGTTTTGCTGGTCCTGTCATTGTCTGATGGAGTCTAGGTTCAGGCTTCTTGTCCTGGGCCCTGGGAGGGCCTGAAGGTCTTGCTGGTAGAACATGGCAGAGGAGGCATCTAGACTATCTTATCTGAAGGGGTTTGAGGCTCTTTCAGCTTCCACTGGGGCCTCTTGGTTTTTCTCTCTGGGAACTTGAGCCACCAGAAGACGCTGTCACTGGTGAAAAGTCTGTGTTTGGCTAGTTCAGTTGGCTATTAGCCAAGCCCCACCTTTCAGGCACCCCTAACTCCACCATCTGAAGCATTGTGAAGCCACCCTTCAGCCAACCAGCTGACTCCAGTCAGTGCCCAGTGGAGCCCAGCCACGTTCCTTGCTTGTAAAGCTGTGGCAGGTGTTTTGGGGCAGGTACTTCACTTGCCACAGCCCCCTAGCTTCTGTTCCTTAGTGTGCTCCATCCTAACTAGACCTAGAAAAGTTTCTAGATGCCAGACTGTCGAAATTCTGCTCTCTAGGCAGGACCAAACTTCCAGGTAATGGCTGAGTGGTGCGTTACAGGTACATGAATCACCCTTCTGCCAAAAGCAACCTCATGGTGTACACCATCAACTCTTTTGCCCATGGCACAGGCAGAGGGGCAGAAGGTGACAGGATGGAGAAGCCAGGACACTTATTTCCTCCACTCCCCAAGTCATCAAAGAGAACTGTCTTTCTGGCAAGGCCATAACTTCTAGCAGGCTTCTTCTCTCTGTATACCTCTCCCCGCAGCTCCCCTGTAGCCCCTGTCTCTAAGACAATGACCCCAAGAACTGCTCCATGTGTGGCTGCTCTCGCTGAGCCATGCTCCTGGTGTTAGGGTTTTCCTAGATGCAGCTCCTGAGACAAAGTTTGCGGTTTATTTGAAGAGCTCTTAGGAAGCTCAGTAAGGGGAATGTAGAAAAAGGGCAGGACAGTGAGAGAACTCCATAGCAGGCAGGTGACCAGGCTGAGGTTAATCCAGTTGGGGGCCTAAGGAGGGAGAGGCATAACCACACACTCCCTTCCATTATCAGGTGTGCTCGTGTGTTTATTTTGCAGTACCAAGGATCAAACCCCAGACTCCTTGAATAGCAGGCAAGCATGTATCCCCCCAGTCTCCTCTGGTATTGTTTGAAGCCTCTTCCATTAATTTCTTGGTGCCTTGAGTTCAATACAACTGGCTAAGCTTGCTCCAGTGGCTGCATAGGACCTGTTGCAGAGAGACAGATCTGGGGACATCCAGGTGTCATTGAGAAGTAGTTTTCATCATGTAGAGGGATGTGCAGGTTACTTGGGCAGTGCACATGCATAGCCCACACCTCTGTAGTCAGCACATTTGTTAACTTTCCTCCATTACTCTATTTGAGTGTGAAACAGGTGTGGCTGCTCTCCCTGAGCTATGCTCCTGGTGTTAGGATGAAACCAGGTGAAACAGGCTGGTCTCCAGCTTTTCTATACAACACATATAAAGCGGAGAGCAGAGGAGGGATAGAGAGAGATGCCTTCCCTCCTAAATGCATTCTGCACACACTACACTGTTTGTTACTGAGGTAGGTTCTCAGGCACACAGGAACCCTGGCTCTCCTAGCCTGCCTTCAAAACTAAGCTCAAGTCTAACCTCAACCAGGGTGGAGTTGCTCATGCCTGTATTCCCAGTGCTTGGGAAGTAGAAGCAGGATTGCCACAAGATTAAGACCAATTTGGGCTACAGAGTGAGGCTGTGTCTCAAATTCACATAAATCCAATTCTAGCCAGTAAGTTGCATTATGGAAACTGCTTCGGAGTAATCCCTCCAGCTAAGCCAAGGGAGGCTTTGGTAATAACATTGCTGATGCAATAGCCAAATAGCTAATGTAACAAGATTTGTGTGGGGGGGTAGGGTGGGTTGGAGTGCTTCACTTAAAAAAAAAAAAAAGACCTACAATTACTGGGCCAGGCTTTTAGTCCCAACACTTGGCAGAGGCCAAGGCAGGCAAATCTCTTTGAGTTCAAGTCCAGTCTGGTCTATATCGTGAGTTCCAGGACAGTCAGAGCTATGTAGAGACCCTGTCTCAAACACTAAAACATTAAAAAAATATATAATCTTTCGATAGTAACTACTGTAGCAAAGAGGATATAACAAGTACCTGGTCTAGTTCTGATCCCTGATCTCCGAGATTCTTGCTTCTTCAATACTTCTGAGTGGTGGTCCTCTCCATTCCTGCTGATTCTACAGCACTGGGATATCAAGGTCATGCTCCAGCCAGTTGGAAGTTTGAGGTAGCCAGGCTCAGAAAAAGCACATTTAATTCATTGTAGTTAGGGTCATTGTAGTAGGGTACAGGTGAATTGGGCCACAGAGTTGCAGGGGCTTAGGGTGTGCTGGGAAATGTAGTCCAGTAACATCTAAAGTCAGTCAGAGTAGGAAAGTATCTTCCTTGTGGAAGCCCTTTTGTTCCCTGTTCAGGAGACTTGCTCCCATCTTCCTGAGGTCAGAAAGCCCTCAGGGGCTGAAGAGATGGCTCAGTAGTCAAGAGCACACGCTGGTGTTGCAGAGGTTCTGAGTTTGGTTTCCAGCACCATGTAGGTTGGCTCACAAATGCCTGTAACTCTAGTTCCAGGGCATGTAATGCCCTCTTTCAGCCTCCATAGACACTGCACTCATGTGCACCCCACATATATAAATAATTGAAAATAAAAAAGTCATGTGAAGAGTAAATGTGGTGGTAATTCCAGCCTTTGGGAAGTGGGAGCAGAAGAACTGGGCCATCCTCAACTACCTAGTGAATTTGAGGCCAGCCTGGTCTACACAAGGCTTTTAAAAAGAAAGAAAAGTTTCCACGAGAAGAATGAAATCATATCATTAGAAGGAAAACAGATAGGACCAATTTATTTAAATTAAATAAATCAAGTTAGAAAAGTAAGTCACATTTTCTCTCAAGTGCAGACTGTGGAGGAAAACTGATCATGAAGGAGGTTGTTAGTGAGACGGACCTTCAGGAGGAGGAGAAGAAACGGAGAAGGTAACGGTGTGTGTGATGGAAGCACACTGCACGTGTGTCCCCATTATTTTGTATGATTAATGTACACTAATTAAAGAAGACCTATGACTTGCATTAGCCAATGGGTGGATGGGTTCATTTTCTCTCCAGATCTCCAGGCCAAGGCCAAGGTCTGAGAAGAGAGTAAGCTTGTGTGTTGTGGGGTGTGTGTGTTGTGGTGTGTGTTTGTGTGTGTGTGTGTGTATGTGTGTGTGTGTGTGTGTGTGTGTGTGTG